TAAAAAATATGCAACAGGAGGTCCCTCAAGGAAGTTGGAGGTGATTTTGCTAGCAGTTGCAGGGATTTGGCTGTACAAGTACTCTGTCTTCTATTTAAATTTCCCTAGAAATTTACTTCTTTCTAGAAGACCTTCTTCCTCTCATCCAAAAGGCTTCCTCAGTTCCAACTGATGATGGGGTTCACCCCAAAGATAAGACACCCAGAAACAAGGCAGACAACATGGTTTATGCTTTTAGGTGTAGTGAGGAGGGCACAGATCTGTACATTTGAGAGACCAAGCACCCACTACACAGGCGCATGGCTACATCCTACATCAACAAATGCATCGAGGACGTCAGGACCAGAGAGAACATCATCATCCGGGCCAACCAACGACCCTGGATGATTGGGGTGGTTTGAAAATTGCTAAAAGCACGGACTCAGCCTTCAAGTCTGGTGACAGAGATGCACTGAGGACAGCACAATTCAACTTGAACTGCTTGATCAGCTGATCTGATGGAACGGTGATGGCCAACAGAACCACAGCCAGCATTTCGGTCCCAAAAAAGCCTCAAGTCACCTTATTTAATGACTACCTGCCTGTTGCACTGAATCCCATCATGATGAAGTGCTTCGAAAGGCTGGTAAAAGAACACATCATCTCCAGTCTCCCCCCAACTTTCCACCCGTTCTAGTTTGCCTACCGATGAAACTTCTCCACTGAGGACGTCATCTCCTCTGCTCTTTACCTGAGACGAGCACAGTTGGAGGAAAAGAAGACCAACGTGGGGATGCTGTTCCTGGACTTCAGTTCAGCTTTCAACACCATCACCCAACAGCATCTGACAAAAACTGGAAAATTTGGGCTTTAAGACACCCTTTGCAATTCCTCACCAACAGACCTCAGTCAGACTGGATTGGACAGCTCTGATGTCATCACCCTAAGCACAGGCTCCTCTCAGGGCTGCATCCTGAGTACCCTGCTGTTCATTCTGATGACTACATCCCCAGGTTCACCATCAATCATATTGTGAAGTTTGCAGACAACACCACGGTGGTGGACCTCATCAGAGACGACAACGACCTGGACTACAGAGAGGAGGTGAAGCAGCTGGTGGGCTGCTGCAAAGATAATAGCCTGATCCTGAATGTGGAGAAGCCGAAAAAGGTCATCTTGGACTTCAGGAGGAACCGGCCTAACCATGCACCAATGCTCAGCAACAGCTCAGCTGTAGAGGTGGTCAGCAGCACCAAATTCCTTGGGGTGCACATCACAGACACCCTCTCCTGGAATGTAAACACCACCTCACTGGTCAAAAGGGCACAGAAGCACTTGTAAATCCTGCGGAGGGTGAGGAGAGCCCACCTGCCACCACCCATCCTCACCACCTTCTACAGAAGCACAATAGAGAGTGTTCTGACCAGCTGTCTCACTGTGTGGTGTGGAGGCTGCAGCGTCACAGACTGGAACAAGGTGAGAAGAGTCGTGATTATAGAAGAGAAGATTACTGGTGATCCACTCCCATCCTTAAAAGACATTTCATCCCAGCACTGCGTGTCCTGAATCGGTAACATTATCAGCAATCCCTCACAACCCCACCATGAACTATTCTGCCTTCTGGGAAGAGGCTTCGCAGCATTCAACGCAGGTTCTGCAACAGTTTTTTCCCCACTGCCATAAGACAGTTTGAACTGTTCAAAAATCTAATCAAGTCAAATTATCAAAATAGAACTCAACTCAGTGTTTCTACTGAATTTTGAACTATGTACATTTCTTTATTTTTGCACTGCTCTGAACCTTCCACATCAATGCATTTTGCACCATGTCTCTCCTACACTGTTTACATTTTGATCCCTATGTAATTTCTAAATGGAAATGTTAATTTCACTGCTAAGCTGCTGCTCATTCACTGTTGAAAAGCTATATGTATCAAAATTTCATCTTGTATACTCTCTGTGACAATNGGAAATGTTAATTTCACTGCTAAGCTGCTGCTCATTCACTGTTGAAAAGCTATATGTATCAAAATTTCATCTTGTATACTCTCTGTGACAATGACAATAAAGTTTGTCGAAGTCTAAGTCATAAATGAGAATACATCAATTTTCAAATAACTGCTTTGCCTCTACAGTACTTCTTATTTTTAATGATTTATCTTGTTTTTGTGTAAGCAGTTATTGTGTAAGCAGTAATTAAAAAGTATAGTAGTTATATTATAGATAGTTAAACCAACAAAGAAGCTGCCAATAAGACATACACACAGTCAGTCTAAATTTGGTAACCTACACAAAATTTCTGATCAGGAAACATATCTAAACAATTTAAACACCAAAATGGAAGATTAATATTTAGTACAAAAACGTAAATCGAAGTTAACAAATGGTGTTATTGTTATAATCTTTATTAACTTATAATAATGAAAAACTAAAGGCAATTTGAACTCCAGTTGGTGCAGCTGGGGTATATGACTGAGAGCCAGAGCCCAGTGAAGAGCAATTAATTGACAGTGACTGTTTCATGTCTATAGGACAGCAATAGAGCTGTGACTCTCCTGCAGCAAGAGTGCTGTTCAGAAAGCACAAAAGCAGCTTGGTCTGAAAAGGCCACCTCAAAGCATGAATACTAATGGAATTGATTTATACCTCCATTTCCTGCTGGGAGACTTGAGGAGGCGGCGCTCTCGTGTGTGTTCAACAGCCTGAAGTGGTGAAAAGGCAGCAGCGCAGTCAAACCATCAAATATATTGCAGTCCTACTGCAAAAAGAGCAGCAAGGTCTAGAGACATTAACAGTGTTCCATGGAGGTGCATTAGAGAGCAATCAAATGGTAAAAAAGTAGCTACAGAAAGTGTAGGTGCTGTCAGTTAGTAACAAGATGTGAAACGTATAAGTGAAGGCTGGTTGGAAAGCTACATCACAGCGTTCAGGAGGCAATAACATTTCTGAAATCAGTAATAACTCTCATAAAAATCAATATCAAGCTAGTGCTATTGAGACATCCCCTAACATGATTTTTGTGCCCTTTCATTGCTACCGAACCAGAACCTGTTGCAGTTTTAGAAGATCTACCCTCTTCCCAAATATCTGGTTTATGGGGTATTTGACACTTTAAATCTAATGCAAGATACCAGCTAGCGATGCCACTTAAGGGATTATTCACCTTTTGGGAAATCAAAGGCAGGCCTTGTACCCCCTCTTCATCAACCAATGCCTGCCTTTATTTACACAGTCCTGAAGCCTGAACAAAGTCATTCATATTCCAGGTAGATCTAAGTTTTAAGATTAATAATAATACTTATAATAATCATACATTTTATTTAAAGCACCTTCCAGGACACCTAAGGACACTGTACAACAAACAACCAAAATGCACAATAGTATTTTAAATTCCTTTTATAATAATGATACTTTTTTTATTTAACAAACATATTCCTTATTTATATTGAGTGACTAATCCTGAGTCCTGAATTAAAGTATAAAGGGAGGGAAATTAAGACAGCTGCCTAGTTTATAAGACTCGGATCTCATTACCCAAGATAAACCATCAAAATGTCTGGACAACCAAACCACAATGCAAGCTTCCAAAACAAGCAACTATCTATTATTTCATTAGAACTTCAAAAAACAGTTCCATTTTAATATTTAAGGCTTAAGAAACATTTTAGAAAACAAGCCCTACCTTCAATTCATTGACCAATTGTGAGTGTTGAACATATTACATTAATACACTCTCCTTGATTTATAAAGCTTGAGACTGGATCCTGAACCCAAGTTAAAAGTTTAGGAGTTATTCATTTAAAAAATATGAAAATGATATTTGTTGTGTCGCCACTAATAATAAGAATCTTTCGATGTGATGAAAATATTTAGTGTAAAATGAGCAGACCGTAGACTTTTCTCATCTGTGGCAGCACAGTATAGTCTGTCTGTCTGTCTGAGGTGTCAAGTAACGAAGTACAAATACTTCGTTACTGTACTTAAGTACACTTTTTAGGTATCTATACTTTACTCCATTACTTATTTTTCTTCCTACTTCTGACTTCTAATCATTACATTTTCGCAGAAATATCTGTACTTTCTATTCCTTACATTTTTAAAACAAACGTTACTCGTTACTCTTGGCTTCAGTTTAATGTTTAAAAATATTTATTTTATTTGCGCCTTCCAATGCAGATCATTGGTGCCATCCACATTTAGTGAAAACTAGTGTAATTGGATGAATCATAAAACGCAAACACATATTCAAATATTGTCAAATATTGTTGTCAAATATTCGTCAAATTTCTGCTGAAGCCAAATTTCATCAGAAGCAAGCATGTGTTCTTCAAACTGCAAACGGGAATTGTCTATGCCAAATTGAGCTTTCAGTTTATATAGTGGCATCTGGATGTTTTTTTTTAAAGGTTACTTTATACTTTTAGTTTTTGGAGCACATCCTTTTTCACTTTTACTTGAGTAAAAAGGTCAAATTGATACTTCAACTTTTACCAGAGTGCTTTGAAACTGCAGTATCTGCACTTCTACTACACCACTCTTGTCTGTCTGTCTGAACATTTCACGGTAAATGCTGATAATGAAGATAGACTAAAATGAGCATTTTTAATTATCAGTTTTTCAAGTCTAGGAATATAGCACTAAGCTAACAGAATAATTGTAAATTAGAATTTAAACCTCACAAGCCATTAATTGAAAAATGTCACAGCATGACAATCTATTAATTCTGTGTTTAATAGGCACTTTCAGTGGAAGAATAAACCTAATTTAAGAGTGGTGATCCATAATCCTTCCCTGGCATTTGTCTTGTATGGATGCATTTGCTAAATTTGGAACTTGTGGCTATGCTCATACCCCAGACTCACTTAAACCACACAAGATTGCATGGCAAAGATGCTAAACGCATCACTTTGATGTCGGCATTGTAACTGTGACACAATCATAAATCAGGGTTCCCTTCCATCATGATCTCAACAACACAGTGCATTCTGTTTACAGCCCTTATCATTTTTATTGATGATAAAATCCCAGTTATAAAAAAAAAATTGTCATTTGGAGATGAAAAACATAATTGATTGACAGAGACATTATTCTGTAAGGTTGGATCTTTTTCCAAAAAGCAGTCTTAAGGCTGGCCTCTATGAATGACTCCATATTTCCGCAGTGTTGAAATAAGTCATGGCCCGGATGTATTACAGTTTAAATTCAGAAACACAAGACTATGACAAATTATATGAAATCACTTTATTCTCAGTGTGCTGTGATTCCATTTTTGCAGGAAATTACATATTGAAATATTTGTCTAAAACAGCATGCAGTGAGGCTAACACGTGGGGCTTTGAAACACAGAGAGGACACGAAACGTTTATATCCACAACCTTGCCTACATCGCACACCAAAAGCATGCATACACTTTTGCCAACACATAGGGGGAATACAGAGAGGAAAGGGAGGGGGAAAGGTGAGGAGACTTTTCGCAGTGCAAATTAATGCACCACATAAAAACATGTCTTTCTACTTTTTCTCAAAATGCCAGCCACCAGAGGACAGAAACAGCGCTGACAAAAGACAAGAAAACAAAAAACAAAAAGTGCACCAGAACTAGCATCTCCTCAGCACAGAGAACAGAGAAAAGACAGATGCTAGAAGAGAGAAACGTCAGACAGTTACATTCAAGTCACATCAAAGGATTATTCTTCTAGAAGCCATGTTAATTATATTCAGGCAGTTTTTAAAACCTATTAATGAGCGTATGAGTGACATAAAGACATGACGTCCAACCGTTGTGAGTTTTTGACACTTTAACTGCATGGAAAATGTAGAATTGCCCAAAGACTGGGACAGTTTGTTTGGGCAGTATAATAGCAATTTTATGTTTATATGAGATCATAATGATAAATGTGTTTAGGAATAGATGTGTTCTTGCAGACAATGATTTGATTTCTGAGCGTTAGTTTGAAAAATACTTTTGAAAATAATTATTGTTGCTTGGTATAACTGACAAGGGCCGTTATTTTAACTTTCTAAAATATTCCAAGACCAAAGATGTTCAAACTTAAATATGACCTATTACCTAAGTTGCGAGAAGCAAGAAAGTAAAGTTGTTTATGTTGTATATATATATATATTTATATGTTGTATATTGTTCATTTTAAGGCAGTGATTTTAGTTTTTAGCATAATCTAGGACTGAATGTATTTCAAAATAAAAGTTGCTGTGATGCGAATTACCCAACTGGCAGTTCAATTAACTTGCTATCGGTGACACTAGCTATTTAAAAGCAGTAAATTAACCAAAGATCAAAGTTCTCGTTGTTCATGAATGTAGCTTAGAAGTGAACTGACCATTTATGTGGTGTCGCTACTAATTCTTAGCATAGCTAACGTAGCTAGCTGAAATGTTATAAGACAAAAATAAGTAAATAGATAAATAAAAGTAAGTTGACTGTAACTTAATTTGATGCAATGAGATTGCAAATGTTACCTGGGTGAAATAGGTTTTTATAAATATTAGTTAGCTTAACACTGAGTTTGCTACTGTAGCTATGAAATAGGTCAGTAAAAAAAAAAAAAAAAATAGTAGTCCTAAAAACAATAAAAATAAATCTAAGTTTTTCTTTACTTGGATGCAGCTGCTTGGAAATGTTGAACAGAAGCAAAATTAATATTCAATATACACATAGTAGCTGTTGACTCACTAAATTGATAGCTAAGTGAGTTATAATGCGCTTTTATTCATAGTGATGCTAATTCAGTGACGGCTGTGGTTAATTTCTAACTGTCAAACAATGAGCTATAATACCTGAGAAGTTACTATAACACAAATGGAAACTTTTCCGCTAAATCTGCGATGAAGATCACTATTCTTTGGTATAATTAAATAACTGTTCTTTTAGCTGATAGCTATGTATAACACAGGGACAACTATCAGATGGTGTGTTGCTGACATTATGCTGTAACAGTGGTTTACTAATGCATCAAATTCACAAGACATTGAATAAACATGCTCTATATGTGGCAATAAAGCAATGTTATGTTGTACTGTATACTGTATTCTACGTAATTATGGTGTTTACAAAGCACTGAATTAAAAGTGAATTCACTTATAGGAGGGAGAGGGACACACATATCCCGCAATATTGTGACAAAATGTATGCGCTGTAAATCCTTATTTATGACTACGCCTACTGTGCACAAGTTGATCACAAAACATTTAGTAAAAAAATTCACCACAGTATTAAAATACATGGATGATTACATTGATTGGATTTTGGGCTTTTCTGTACACGGCAGCTAAAATTACCCTTTAATGAGCATTGGCAGTCATTTCACTACTTTTCTTCTAACCAATCTATAATTGTTTACTTATAAAAGCACAGATAGATTAAGAGATTAAGGTCTACATTGTGATGTAATAGTCTGAAAGGCAAAGAAGGCATTCATTGTGGCCAACTGTAATTGTTATCTGTTTTCAGGTAAATGGATGACCAGCATAAAACTGGTGGAATGTTGGAAATATCTGGAATGTTTAACAAGACACTCTGGAATGAACCACAATCAAAAAGAAAGGCCTACAAAAGAAATCAGGTTTTAATCCTTGTGCAGCTTTTACCAGCTTATCAGCAGAGTCTGTAATGTAGAATTAAATATTTTCCCTACTAAAGTCATTAAACTCTCTAAAAGAGCTTTTTTTTAAATGTAATTACAACAAGTGAAGCGCATGTGTTGTGAATGCAAGTTGATGAAACATATCCAATACTTTTATGATATGAAGCAAATGGTCCTAAATTCCCACTTTATGGTGATTTGATTAGCATGTCTGACCTACAAAAGTTTCACTTTACCACAGTGTGCTGACACATGTTTGTCTTTAACATCGACTAACATTTAGGGGTAACTCTAAAAACACAAAACAATGAAGATTGTCTGTTATTGCTGATTTGGGACTATTCTCCCATTTTTTAAACCAACAGACACAGGACAACTTCATTTTGACCAATATATTGCACTATTGTCACTGTCTGTTCACATATAGTGTGCACACAACTTAGTTGCGTTTGTGAAATTTCTTTTTTTTTTTTTTTTACAATAAAAAAAAACAAAAAAACACGGCGTTACATATTACACATAGCTTCAAATTAACCTGCCAGGTTAAACTTGTACACGTCTTGATTTAAAAGATGACTAAATAACACTGGCAAACACAAAACAATTTTTTGTAAGCCACAATCAAATATAATATAACCAGTGAGTTTATTTATTTTTTTTAATTTATGGAATTTTACCCTCCTGCTTTAAGACAAGTTTCACATATGGAGAAAAAAAACTGTTTCTCCATGGAAGAACATTTTGAACAATAAGTCAGTTATCTTCTAAAGTCTAGCGAAGTGGAATGAAATGTTTTAATTAAATAAAAATATTGGAGGACCATTTATTGCCTAAAATACCAACATCTTCTCTTTCATCAGTACAGATGAAACTGAAACCATATATGCACATTACTTTATAGGTATTAGCTGCATGCATTAAAAATAAACAAATCAAAATATGTTTTATTACAAATAAATATCCTTCACTGTTTGTTTTACACGTGTTACAAAGTAGTGCTCATATTACACATTCACTGTGACTCAAGGAGAACATCAGATCAGGGTGAATGGCCACAATGGAGAACCGATTTAAAAATGTATTTATGTACACTGTATCAAATACTAGGAGGAACGTAAAAGGATAAATTAAATTTTAATCAAATTTGATATGATTTGGATTAGTTCCTAAAAGGTAAAAATATGGCTTATACTCTTAGCTATCTTGTTATCTTTCATATTTTAAGTCATATATAGTACTCTTTTATACTTCTGAGACTATTTACAAACAAAAAGGTGGTGATGTTTAAACTTATTCTGAGCAAATTATGAAAAGATGTAATCAGATAAGCTTAAAATAAAGAGAACTGTGCAGGTGTTTTTAAGACAGGATAACAGAGTTATGATATCAAATGGATGAATCACGGTCTAAGATTGGCCAGTTTAGCTCAGACAAAATCATGGCATGCTGCGTAATTCCAGGACACTTAGTATTTGGTTTGATAGGATGGGGCGCGTGTGAAGTAGAGCATGACGGCAGGTTGGAGTGGGACAGGCTTGTACAGCATTAATTAGAAAGAAGTTGTAAGAAGTTAAATGTATTTGCGGACAAAGCCCTGTTACTTTTTATTGAACATATCCATCAGAGGGGCTGGGATGAATTTCATGACGGTATCCACGATGCTTTCCTCCTCTTCCTCGTCACCACAGCCGGCGGGGACGGCCTTTTTGGGGCGTGTAAGGCTGCCCTCTGAGGCTTGCTCCATAGCAGCTGCTGCCTCGGCTTCCTTCTCCTCCTTCTTCTTGATGCCGTACTGCAGGAACAAGAGTAGAGAGAAAAGGAGGCCAGATTTAAATAATGTGTTTTCATTTGGATTTAGAGAATTGATTTTTAATTTAAAAAAAAGAAAACAAAAAATATAATAAGGCACTGGATGAATGGTCCCTTTGCCATTTTTTTCCTCACATTTCATACCTGTTTGTCAACTTGTTTTCTATTTCTAATTTTTGCCAGTAAAGCTCATTACCACAAATCAGCAATTGTTTTGTTCTAGAAATAACAATGTCACAGAAAGTCTAGAGAGTTGTAAAATAAAAGTATTAATTTAACAGAAAAAGCATATATATTGCATATAAATTTGGATGGGTCCAAAATATATTGTATTTACTCCTACATAAAACAATTCTCCATCGACGGAATAGTACATTGAAGTCATGTGAGACGAAGGTCAGGATTGTCAGATCCTAGTAGGTCTGATACCTCTGAAAAATGGTTTCCTCTTAGTTTTACAGTTCTCTGATTCAAGCAAACCAAAAAAGGACCAAAATGAATGTGAACATTGGACAAACTTTCAAGTGTTTTTGCTGATTTAATGAAGCAAAGGAGCTCAGAAGGCAAACAGAGGTTGCCGCCTTTCTTATGGCCAGGTAAGTTAAATATTAGCTAAATGTGGCCAATGTTAAAATAAGCATTAGCAATCCTGGCAACTGGATGCCAATACAGTAAAATTAAAGGTTGGATAAAGAGCTGGTGAGCACAACTTTACCACTTACTGGCAGGGTAGAGTTGAACTTGTGGCCATCTCCTTTAATGAAGAATTGTATATACAGTATTTTGTATATATATTGTATAGGGAAGTGTTGGCCTAGTGCGTTAAGGCAGTGCGCTTGTGCTTTGAGAAGATTGCAAGTACCCGGTATAATCCCCACAGCCTGCACTCTGGGTTCCTGAGTAAAACCCTTAACCCCTGATTGCTCCCCGGGCGCCGCACAATGGCAGCCCACTCCTCCCCGAGGGGATGGGTTAAATTAAAAAAGAAACAAATTTCCCCATTGTGGGACAATAAAGAGATTTACACATATGCAGAGTGCTATATATTTCAGTGTATCACTATATTAATAAATATATGTATTTCTGTTTAATTTTGAGAAGAATGTACTGTAATATCTTTTTTTAAGATAAAAATTTAGGATACAGAGATTATAATCACAGATAAAAAAAAATGGAGAAGACAAGAGTAATGGTGGTGTGAGTTCCACATGTCCCATCGAGCAAAAATTGGGAGGACATGATTTACGTCCCAACGACATCTACATTCGGTTGAAAAGTGAAAAGGTGTAATTTTCAGATTATTTTTGGATTAAGGTGGTCTATTACTGTTAAGTCTATTATTGGACTAAAGTGGGACAAAATCAGACCGACCAAACACAGCCCAATTTTCAATATTTCTGGACTAAATAAAGCTTAGAAACCATCGTCTATATTACATCTGGTGTTTGGGGGGTACAGGTGCAAAGGGACCATATGTTCACAGGGCTGTCAACTCTCACCCATTGGGTGTGAGACTTACCCATCTCAGTCTTCACACACTCGCACTCCATATTCCCAATTTCCTACACTAAAAAATGACAGACATTAAAATTCTAATCCGTTCCACTTATTTATGTATAGAAATACCACAGTGATCAAAATCCAGTCCGTGTTTTTAATACAGCCTTAGTGCTAACACACAAGGACATGCCAGGTTCATATCCAGTCCATATTCCCACCTATTCACTGTGCCAGATATGAAAAAAGAAAAGTTGTTATGAGATATAGAATTTTAATTTCTATCTTATCTCACCTGGACTAGGATAATTCTCTTTGTAAATTATTGAAAAGTTTAAGCATTCTAGTGCTTGAGTAAATATGAAAAAAAAAATACAGCTGCTTACTTAAATTATTGCTGTGTAGTTAGAGTGTAGGATCACATTAAATGGTTTGTTTTCTCTTTTTTAGTCCCAGTTTTAGTCCATGTTTTGCTCACAAGTTAAATAAACATTGCTTAGTCTAGTTTAATAATCTCCAATTGGTGTTTAAGATTAATTAAACCAACACAAATATTTTAATTCTTAAAGCTTTTAAGTTTATATCACAAAAAGAAAAAGAATCATTGCATTTTATTTTTCAAATGATCAGCCACCCAAGAAAACACCAACCACATCCAGAGAGGATGTGCAGAAAAACTCGGTTATCCAGGATTCATAGAGAAGAAACCGCAGGGATGTTCTTCTTTTATTATCCCTTATCATATTAATTTATCTTTATTTTGATCCATTGAATATGTTAAAAAACTTTCCATCACACCTTCCAACCTGAAACATCCAGAGAAGTGCTGTCTCCTTTTATGGTGATATTTTATAAAATCTTCAGCCTCCTAGCAGGTCTGGATTGTTTAGCTGTTTTGTCAATTGTAAGAAAAACTAATAACATAATGATTGAAGCTTTATAATCCTTAGCCTATTACCAAATATTCATAGACAGTTTGCATAGGTTTCTATTGCACTGGTTCCTGTATCAGTGCAAGTAATCCAGCAATAGCTTATTAGTTCCCCATTGTTTAATTTACTTGAACTGCAGTGAATAATTAATGAACAAAGTTGTGAAAATCTTAGTTTAGAGTATATTCAAGATGCAAGTGTTTTTAGTAGGGCCCATTCTGCTTTACCTCAATTCTCTAAACATCACCAGAATGTAGAAAATAATATATATTGTGAGAAAAATGTTCCTCATAACTACAGACCACTTATTGTTTTCCAGTAACATTTACTGTGCTATGAAAGTTCAAAATTTTGCCACTTTGTTTCAGTTAAATCCTCTGAAAACCTACAACCTATAGCTGCACCTATCCTCATCTAACCCTGACAGGGTTTCCTGGGCGAACTTTTTCAAAATCTCAACCCAAGCTTTGGTTAAAAGCTGGCGGCCCTTTGTTCAGGTCTAAGTGGGGTTGGACAAAAAGGGGAAACCTCAACATTTTCTTGGGCCACCTATAGTATAGTCATGGCCAAAAGTTTTGAGAGTGATTCAAATGTTAATATTGACAAAGTCTGCTGCTTCAGGTTTTATAACGGCAATTTGCATATACTGCAGAATGTTATAAAGAGTGATCAGTGTAACAGCAATTAATTGCAAAGTCAATATTTGCCTATAAAATGAACTTTATCCCCCAAAACACATTTCAGCGTTATTGCAGCCATGCCTTAAAAGGACCAGCTAACATCATTTCAGTGATTGCTCCAATAACACAGGTGTGGGTGATGAGGGTAGGGCTGGAGATCAATCTGTCATGATTAAGGAAGAATGACACCACTGGACACTTTAAAAGAGGCTGGTGCTTGGTGTCATTGTTTCTCTTCTGTGAACCATGAAGAAACACGTGCAGTCATCATTGCACTGCACAAAAATGGCCTAGAAAGATTGCACCTCAGCCAAAAATCTATCGCATCATCAAGAACTTCAAGAAGAGAGGTTCCATTGTTGCCAAAAAGGCTCCAGGGCGCCCAAGAAAGACCAGCAAGCGCCAGGACCGTCTCTTAAAAGTGTTTTCAGCTGCGGGATCGGGCTACCAGCAGTGCAGAGCTTGCTCAGGAATGGCAGCAGGCAGGTGTGAGTGCATCTGCAAGCATTGTGAGGCGGACACTCTTGGAGCAAGGCCTGGTCTCAAGGAGGGCAGCAAAGAAGCCACTTCTCTCCAGGAAAAACATCAGTGACAGACTGATATTCTGCAAAAGGTAGAGGGAGTGGACTGCTGAGGACTGGGGTAAAGTCATTTTCTCTGATGAATCCCTTTTCCGATTGTTTGGGACATCTGGAAAACAGCTTGTTTGGAGAAGACGATGTGAGGGCTACCACCAGTCTTGTCTCATAACAACTGTAAAGCATCCTGAAACCATTCATGTGTGGGGTTGCTTCTCACAATCTTACCTAAAAATACAGTCATGAATAAAGAATGGTACCAGAATGTCCTCCGAGAGCAACTTCTCCCAACCATCCAAGAGCTGTTTGGTGATAAACAATGCCTTTTCCAGCATGATGGAGCACCTTGCCATAAAGCAATTTCAATCATATTGAAAACTTGTGGTCAATCATCTATAGATGGGTGGACAAACGAAAACCTAGGAATTCTAGCAAAATGCTAGCATTGATTGTGCAAGAATGGACTGCTATCAGTCAGGATTTGGTCCAGAAAGAGGTCCTGAAGAAGAGGGATCAACACTGCAAATATTGACTTGCTGCATTAACTCATAACTGTCATTAAAAGCTTTTGTTACTCTTAATATGATTGCAATTGTATTTCTGTATGTAATGACATCTGACATGCACACATGAAAACCAGAGGGCAGCAGATCATGTGAAAATATAATATTTGTGTCATTCTCGATACTTTTGGCCATGACTGTACACTAATAGGCAACTTTTAAACACACAAAAACACATCCTAGGAAGCACCCAACCAGCAACGATAATGACATCATGATCTGACATCTGTCCCTCCTACTTCAGCCTGGTGATTTAGGATTTAGTAAAATTTTTTCTAACTCCCTTACCTCCTAAGCAGAAATGACTGCAATTCAATTGGCCTGTCTGTGAATCTACATAAGAGTCAGCAGATGACACCACATAGTCTTTCCAGCCCTGTGGTAATAATTCAGGACTCTCTCGGTGATGTGATGGTGTAGGGACACTTGGAACAAATGTATCATTATTTTGTTGCTTGCCTTGCCCACCAATTTTGGCTTCATTGTAGTCATTCTTTGATAGCTGCGGTCACAAAAGAATCCTAAAATAAAACTTACTTGAACATGATGATGGGCTACTTTGTTCCAGTGGCCTCCAGAAAGAGTACCTTTATGACACAGTGGACTTTAAGTTTTACATCATAGGAGTGCACTTGGCAAGATTGTGTTTTTAAATTTGCAATTTTGGGTATTTTACATAATACCCAGTTGATGACTAAATCTTAGAAATTATATAATTAAACTGGGTATTAGC